TGACCAGACAGCAAGTGTGAAAAATCGGGACGGGGGTGGGAGGTAATCGGAGCCTATATAAGAAAAAGACCCAAAAATTGGGACTGTCTCTCTAAAATTGGGACACCTGGCCACCCTAGACCTCCCCCACAGACTGCCACTGAGTGAGGAGGGGGCAGTTGCACAGACCTGCAGTGACCATGCAGAGTGTGAGGTTTGCTCCCCTCCTGTCTCCAGTGGGGCTGAGGTTTCTCCCTGAGCCTGCTGAGCCTTGTGGCCCTTCCCAGCCACGCCCGTGGGAGCAGAAAACACCGTTCAGCTGTTGTGACCTGCACAGTTTGTGTCATGTTTGTCTTTCTTCCACAGGACAGAAGCGACTTTGTCTGTACAAAGTGCAAGCTGGTCTCCATATTGGAAGAGAAAGTTCAAGGTCTGGAGCAACAAGTATCGACCCCACGTTGCATAAGAGAAACGGAAGATTTCCTGGACAGACGTCAGGATATGCTTCTACGGACACAACGTTCTGAAGATTCAGAGCAGGCTGCACAGCAGGGACAGGAGGACGGTGAAGAAGTTTGGCAGCACGTTACCTGCAGAAGAAGAAAGGGGAGCGTCCATGTACCAGCAACGCAGATACAGGTGAGCAACCGTTTTCATGTTCTCTCCAGAGGTACCAACGCGGAGAGTGGACCAGATGATACGTCTGAGGGAAGGGAACAGAAGGAGACTCCGCCGATTGGAAGGCATGAGATGCACTGTCCTAGGGATGGGGGTTCCACGACCACCGCTCCCAAGAGAAGGAGGCGGGTGGTGGTGGTCAGGGACTCTCTCCTCAGGGGGACTGAGTCATCTATCTGCCGCCCTGACTGGGAAAACCGAGAAGTCTGCTGCTTGCCAGGAGCTAGGATTTGCGATGTAACGGAGAGACTGCCGAGACTCATCAAGCCCTCAGATTGCTGCCCCTTCCTGCTTCTCCACGTGGGCACCAATGATACTGCCAAGAATGACCTTGAGCGGATCACTGCGGACTACGTGGCTCTGGGAAGGAGGATAAAGGAGTTTGAGGCGCAAGTGGTCTTCTCGTCCATCCTCCGGAACAGTGGGGGGTGGGAATAAACATGGGGAAATAGTTTTACTTTGTGTAATGACCCATCCACTCCCAGTCTCTATTCAAGCCTAAGTTAATTGTATCCAGTTTGCAAATTAATTCCAATTCAGCAGTCTCTCGTTGGAGTCTGTTTCTGAAGTTTTTTTGTTGAAGAATTGCCACTTTGAGGTCTATAATCAAGTGACCAGAGGGACTGAAGTGTTCTCCGACTGGTTTTTGAATGTTATAATTCTTGACGTCTGATTTGTGTCCATTTATTCTTTTACGTAGAGACTGTCCGGTTTGGCCAATGTACATGGCAGAGGGGCATTGCTGGCACATGATGGCATATATCACATTGGTAGATGTGCAGGTGAATGAGCCTCTGATAGTGTGGCTGATGTGATTAGGCCCTATGATGGTGTCCCCTGAATAGATATGTGGGCACAGTTGGCAATGGGCTTTGTTGCAAGGATAGGTTCCTGGGTTAGTGTTTTTGTTGTTTCAGAGTAACAGCCGTGTTTGTCTGTATTTGCAAAAAGAAAAGGAGTACTTGTGGCACCTTTGAGACTAGACACTCAAATAAATTGGTTAGTCTCTAAGGTGCCACAAGTACTCCTTTTCTTTTTGTTTTTGTTGTGTGGTTGCTGATGAGTATTTGCTTTAGGTTGGGGGGCTGTCTGTAAGCAAGGACTGGCCTGTCTCTCAAGATCTGTGAGAGCGATGGGTCGTCCTTCAGGATAGGTTGTAGATCCTTGATGATGCACTGGAGAGGTTTTAGTTGGGGGCTGAAGGGGATGGCTAGTGGTGTTCTGTTATTTTCTTTTTTGGGCCTGTCCTGTAGTAGGTAACTTCTGGGAACTCTTCTGGCTCTGTCATTCTGTTTCTTCACTTCAGTGGGTGGGTATTGTAGTTGTAAGAATGCTTGATAGAGATCTTGTAGGAGTTTGTCTCTGTCTGAGGGGTTGGAGCAAATGTGGTTGTATCGTAGAGCTTGGCTGTAGACAATGGATCGTGTGGTGTGGTCTGGATGAAAGCTGGAGGCATGCAGGTAGGAATAGCGGTCAGTAGGTTTCCGGTATAGGGTGGTGTTTATGTGACCATCGCTTATTAGCACTGTAGTGTCCAGGAAGTGGATCTCTTGCGTGGACTGAGATTGATGGTGGGATGGAAATTGTTGAAATCATGGTGGAATTCCTCAAGGGCTTCTTCTCCATGGGTCCAGATGATGAAGATGTCATCAATGTAGCGCAAGCAGAGTAGGGGCATTAGGGGACGAGAGCTGAGGACATGTTGTTCTAAGTCAGCCATAAAAATGTTGGCATACTGTGGGGCCATGCGGGTACCCATAGCAGTGCCGCTGATTTGAAGGTATACATTGTCCCCAAATGTAAAATAGTTATGGGTGAGGACAAAGTCACAAAGTTCAGCCACCAGGTTTGCCGTGACATTATCGGGGATAGTGTTCTTGACGGCTTGTAGTCCATCTTTGTGTGGAATGTTGGTGTAGAGGGCTTCTACATCCATAGTGGCCAGGATGGTGTTTTCAGGAAGATCACCGATGGATTGTAGTTTCCTCAGGAAGTCAGTGCTGTCTCTAAGCCCTGGTCTACACTAGGACTTTAGGTCGAATTTAGCAGCGTTAAATCGATGTAAACCTGCACCCGTCCACACAATGAAGCCCTTTATTTCGACTTAAAAGGCTCTTAAAATCGATTTCCTTACTCCACCCCTGACAAGTGGATTAGCGCTTAAATCGACCTTCCCGGCTCAAATTTGGGGTACTGTGGACACAATTCGATGGTATTGGCCTCCGGGAGCTATCCCAGAGTGCTCCATTGTGACCGCTCTGGACAGCACTCTCAACTCAGATGCACTGGCCAGGTAGACAGGAAAAGAACCACGAACTTTTGAATCTCATTTCCTGTTTGGCCAGCGTGGCAAGCTGCAGGTGACCCATGCAGAGCTCATCAGCACAGGTGACCATGATGGAGTCCCAGAATCGCAAAAGAGTTCCAGCATGGACCGAACGGGAGGTACGGGATCTGATCGCTGTTTGGGGAGAGGAATCCGTGCTATCAGAACTCCGTTCCAGTTTTCGAAATGCCAAAACCTTTGTCAAAATCTCCCAGGGCATGAAGGACAGAGGCCATAACAGGGACCCGAAGCAGTGCCGCGTGAAACTGAAGGAGCTGAGGCAAGCCTACCAGAAAACCAGAGAGGCGAACGGCCGCTCCGGGTCAGAGCCCCAAACATGCCGCTTCTATGATGAGCTGCATGCCATTTTAGGGGGTTCAGCCACCACTACCCCAGCCGTGTTGTTCGACTCCTTCAATGGAGATGGAGGCAATACAGAAGCAGGTTTTGGGGACGAAGAAGATGATGATGATGATGAGGTTGTAGATAGCTCACAGCGAGCAAGTGGAGAAACCGGTTTTCCCGACAGCCAGGAACTGTTTCTCACCCTGGACCTGGAGCCAGTACCCCCCGAACCCTCCCAAGGCTGCCTCCTGGACCCAGCAGGCGGAGAAGGGACCTCTGGTGAGTGTACCTTTTAAAATACTATACATGGTTTAAAAGCAAGCATGTGAAAGGATTACTTTGCCCTGGCATTCGCGGTTCTCCTAGATGTAGTCCTAAAGCCTTTGCAAAAGGTTTCTGGGGAGGGCAGCCTTATTGTGTCCTTCATGGTAGGACACTTTACCACTCCAGGCCAGTAACACGTACTCGGGAATCATTGTAGAACAAAGCATTGCAGTGTATGTTTGCTGGCATTCAAACAACATCCGTTCTTTATCTCTCTGTGTTATCCTCAGGAGAGTGAGATATAATTCACTGGTCACCTGGTTGAAATAGAGTGCTTTTCTTCAGGGGACACTCAGAGGAGCCCATTCCTGCTGGGCTGTTTGCCTGTGGCTAAACAGAAATGTTCCCCGCTGTTAGCCACAGGGAGGGGGGAAGGTTGAGGGGGTAGCCACGCGGTGGGGGGAGGCAAAATGCGACCTTGTAACGAAAGCACAAGTGCTATGTATGTAATGTTAGCAGCAAGGATTACCCTGAAAGAGTGTAGCCACTGTTTTATAAAATGTGACTTTTTAAATACCGCTGTCCCTTTTTTTTTCTCCACCAGCTGCATGTGTTTCAATGATCACAGGATCTTCTCCTTCCCAGAGGCTAGTGAAGCTTAGAAAGAAAAAATAGCCTACACACCCAGACGCCCAAGAACGCGGTGGGGGGGGCCTCCGGCCAACCAGCCACTCCACCACAGAGGATTGCCCAAAAAAAAGAAGGCTGTCATTCATAAATTTTAAAGTTGTAAACTTTTAAAGTGCTGTGCTTAAAGTGCTGTGTGGCATTTTCCTTCCCTCCTCCACCACCCCTCCTGGGCTACCTTGGTAGTCATCCCCCTATTTGTGTGATGAATGAATAAAGAATGCATGAATGTGAAGCAACAATGACTTTATTGCCTCTGCAAGCGGTGATTGAAGGGAGGAGGGGCGGGTGGTTAGCTTACAGGGAAGTAGAGTGAACCAAGGGGCGGGGGGTTTCATCAAGGAGAAACAAACAGAACTTTTCACACCGTAGCCTGGCCAGTCATGAAACTGGTTTTCAAAGCTTCTCTGATGCGTACCGCGCCCTCCTGTGCTCTTCTAACTGCCCTGGTGTCTGGCTGCGCGTAACCAGCAGCCAGGGGATTTGCCTCAACCTCCCACCCCGCCATAAACGTCTCCCCCTTACTCTCACAGATATTGTGGAGCACACAGCAAGCAGTAATAACAGTGGGTATATTGGTTTCGCTGAGGTCTAAGCGAGTCAGTAAACTGCGCCAGCGTGCCTTTAAACGTCCAAATGCACATTCTACCACCATTCTGCACTTGCTCAGCCTGTAGTTGAACAGCTCCTGACGACTGTCCAGGCTGCCTGTGTACGGCTTCATGAGCCATGGCATTAAGGGGTAGGCTGGGTCCCCAAGGATACATATAGGCATTTCAACATCCCCAACAGTTATTTTCTGGTCTGGGAATAAAGTCCCTTTCTGCAGCTTTTGAAACAGACCAGAGTTCCTGAAGATGCGAGCGTCATGCACCTTTCCCGGCCATCCCACACTGATGTTGGTGAAACGTCCCTTGTGATCCACCAGAGCTTGCAGCACTATCGAAAAGTACCCCTTGCGCTTTATGTACTCGCCGGCTTGGTGCTCCGGTGCCAAGATAGGGATATGGGTTCCGTCTATAGCCCCACCACAGTTAGGGAATCCCATTGCAGCAAAGCCATCCACTATGACCTGCACATTTCCCAGAGTCACTACCCTTGATATCAGCAGATCTTTGATTGCGTGGGCTACTTGCATCACAGCAGCCCCCACAGTAGACTTGCCCACTCCAAATTGATTCCCAACTGACCGGTAGCTGTCTGGCGTTGCAAGCTTCCACAGGGCTATCGCCACTCGCTTCTCAACTGTGAGGGCTGCTCTCATCTTGGTATTCATGCGCCTCAGGGCAGGGGAAAGCAAGTCACAAAGTTCCATGAAAGTGCCCTTACGCATGCGAAAGTTTCGCAGCCACTGGGAATCGTCCCAGACCTGCAACACTATGCGGTCCCACCAGTCTGTGCTTGTTTCCCGAGCCCAGAATCGGCGTTCCACAGCATGAACCTGCCCCATTAGCACCATGATGCATGCATTGGCAGGGCCCATGCTTTCAGAGAAATCTGTGTCCATGTCCTGATCACTCACGTGACCGCGCTGACGTCGCCTCCTCGCCCGGTATCGCTTTGCCAGGTTCCGGTGCTGCATATACTGCTGGATAATGCGTGTGGTGTTTAACGTGCTCCTAATTGCCAAAGTGAGCTGAGTGGCCTCCATGCTTGCCTTGGTATGGCGTCCGCACAGAAAAAAGGCGCGGAACAATTGTCTGCCATTGCTCTGACGGACGGAGGGGCGACTGACGACACGGCTTACAGGGTTGGCTTCAGGGAGCTAAAATCAACAAAGGGGGTGTCTTTACATCAAGGAGTATTTCAGGCAGGACTTCACGGAGGGTTCCAATAAGAAATGGTGCACCTAAGTTATCGTTCTTATTGGAACAAGGAGGTTAGCCTGGCCTCTGATTGATACATAGCTAGATTTACCTCTCTGCACCTTCTCTGTGAGTGACTGCAGTGTGACCTAGAGGAATGAGTCCCCTAGACAGGGGAGGAGGCAAATGAGTACAAAACAAATCTGGTCTATTTCTTGTTTTGATCCACTCCATCTATCTTTTACATCTTTGGCTGGCAGCAGACGGTGCAGAAGGACTGCATGCCATCCAGTTCTCATGGCTGCTCAGCAGAAGATGGTACAGTATGACTGCTAGCCATCCTCATCTCTTGCCTGCCTGGCAGAAGATGGTACAATACGACTGCTAGCAATCCTCATCTCTTGCCTGCCCGGCAGAAGATGGTACAGTACGACTGCTAGCAATCCGTATCGCCTGCCTGCTCACCATAAGACAGTTCAATAGGACTGACTGCAGGACTAAAGAGAATGACCTGGTCAAGTCACTCCAAATTTAGTCCCTGTGCCCATGTCTGCCCAGGTGCTCCCAGCCGACGTGGCCAGGAGCACCTCGGACATGACGATGACGGCTACCAGTCGTATTGCACCGTCTGCTGCCACAAGGCAAGGGGTTGCTGCTTCTGTGTAGCAAAGCCGTACCACGTCTGCCAGCACCCAGGAGACATACGGTGACGGTGAGCTGAGAGGCTCCAGGCTTGCCGTGGTATGGCGTCTGCACAGGTAACTCAGGAAAAAAGGCGCGAAACGATTGTCTGCCCTTGCTTTCACGGAGGGAGGGAGGGAGGGAACGGGGGCCTGACGATATGTACCCAGAACCACCCGCGACAATGTTTTAGCCCCATCAGGCATTGGGATCTCAACCCAGAATTCCAATGGGCAGCGGAGACTGCGGGAACTGTGGGATAGCTACCCACAGTGCAACGCTCCGCAGGTCGACTCTAGCCTCGGTCCTGTGGAAGCGCTCCACCGAGTTAATGCACTTAGAGCATTTTCTGTGGGGACACACACACTCGAATATATAAAACCGATTTCTAAAAAAACGACTTCTATAAATTCAACCTTATTCTGTAGTGTAGACATACCCTAAGATAACTGGGGTGCTGGTAGCGTAGGGCCTGAGGAGAGAGTCCACATAGCCAAACAATCCTGCTGTCAGGGTGCCAATGCCTGAGATGATGGGGCGCCCAGGATTTCCAGGTTTATGGATCTTGGGTAGCAGACAGAATACCCCTGGTTGGCGTTCTAGGGGTGTGTCTGTGTGGATTTGTTCTCGTGGTTTTTCAGGCGCTTACCCCAGCATGTCAGAGAAGGTGTAGAGTCAAGCTCACTTCATGTGATCGCTATTCCCCCGACTTGCCTTAGTTATGCTAAGCCCTGCAAAGGGCTACTAAATGACTAAATGCAACAAGCAAATATACATAGATAGATAGATAGTCCATCCCAATACTTGGTAGTGGCCTGGACACCCGGCTGGTTGCTAAAATGCCGCTCTACACTGGGACCTAACACTAAAAGAAACAATCCAGTGCAGGTGTCTCCCTGAGGGGAAAGCTCTCTTCTATCTGTACACATCAACTGAATCTAATCTGGGACCCACAAACTCAAATGCCTTAATCACAACTCAGGGGTGCCATTTAGGGAGGGCGGTTCAGGCACCCCCCGCTTCATATCACATTTGGGTGAAGTTTGCAGCAGGAGGGAAGATGCTGGTCCTCCCTGCTGCCCTGCTATGGAGTCCCCGCTAGCCAAGTTGCTTGGGATCAGAAGTCTCCCTCCTGATCTGCTGCACAAAGCCGGGCAGGGGCTGATGTTGGGGTGCCCATGTACCTGGTCTCTGCTGAGCTGGGGTGGGGGGATAGGGAGCCTATCTGTGCTGGTGCTCCTGGCTCAGGAGTGGGAGCTGCGGCTGCTGCTGTACTGAGCAAGCATTCAGGCTCCAGAGTGCTTGGCTTGAAGAGAGTGCGCTCACACACTCACAAAGGCACACGCAGTCTTCCACGCATACCTCCCCCTCATACTCACACACTGACAGAGTCTCTCTCATACACGCCCTCGCTCACACGTGGTGGTGGTGGTGTTACTTCTTGGTACTTCCCATCAAAACGTACACAGATTCTTGATAATTTTATTCTTTCAAAGCTCGGTTATTTTAGTTTTTTGACTGGTCTGTGCATTTCATAATTTTATTTCTCTCATGCTTAGTGAGTTTAAAATGTCTAACCTGTCCTGGCCGGAGTAATTATCAACAATATTTTTATTACCATATTGTGCTTTGTCATTCATCATTTAAAGTGGTACAATCAAATAACAGTATCCTTCTAGAATGGAAATTTAGCTTGTCCTCACCTTAGCAGTGCCAGTTTAAGAAAAAATAGCTAAACGCAGAACTTTAGACACTGGGCAGATGAAGGTCGCTTATTTTCAACTTGTAATTTTCATTATCTCTGTAAAATCACTTAAAATTTGTATGAAAATAAACGTGGTTCCAAGTCTGATACTAATAGTAATGATGGGGTCAAAGGTTAGTGAGTCACGTGCATGATGGTGATCGGTAAACGTAAACGCCAGAATAATTAGAAAAATAAATTCCCTTTCTTAATAAAAGAAATTAAATCACATATGTTAAAATTAAATAAATACATTTTTAGCGGAAGGAAAAACAATTGATTAAAAAAGAGTAAATAACGGCACAGAGTCGGACACATCACCTCCATATTGGTGCACAGAACAAATTTCATGTGGTGGGGGTGGGGCCGAGGGGTTTGGAGTGTGGGAGGGGGCTCAGGGCTAGGGCAGAGGGGTTGGGGTGCAGGGGTGTGAGGGCTCAAGCTGGGGGTGCAGGCTCTGGGGTGGGGCTGGGGATGAGGGGGTTGGGGTGCAGGAGGGTGCTCTGTGGCTATGGTGGGGAGAGAGGACCCACCCCCCCCGCCCCAGCTCACCTCTGCCTCCTCCCCTGAGCGCGCTGCCGCGTCCTGCTTCTCCCCCTCCCTCCCAGCGCTTGCAGCTGTTCACGTGGCAAGCGCTGGGAGGGAGGAGGAGGAACGTGGCGCACTCGGGGGAGAGGCGAGGCTGGGGATTTGGGGAGAGGTCCAATAGGGGCAGGGAGGGGGCAGAGTTGGGGGGGGGCCAGGGGCGCGAGCACCCATCAGCGCCAACGAAAGTTGGCACCTGTACCCCCAGCTCTCTCTCCCTGCAGCAGCACCTGGGCTGGGGGTGGGGAGAGGTGCCCCGGGGCCGGGCGGGCCCAGTTGCCAAATTTCACGTGGCAAATAAGCACCCTGACGTTCGCAATAAACCAGAATTCAACCTAATCCCATTTGAAAACAAGCCAATCCCTAAGAACCCCAACACCCTATGTGACTAGATGCCCCCGGCATGCAGTCTGGGACTGTGGTGGGTTCACTGTGCACCCCAGACTCTCTCCCTACCAGGCCCCTGCTTGCCAGGAGCGGATCAAAAAAAAAGAAGCTACTAGCCAACAAGCAACTCACCAGCCAACAAAGCCAAAACAAGGCCAATTTCTGCATACCCCCCCCCCCCCCAGTTTGGCATGGCACTAAACAGGCTGCTGTATGCCCGCACAGCTACAGGGCATCGAGGATACCGCCCTGCTCGCTGAGCCCTGGGTATGGGCAGTTCCCCCCCTGCACGGTGCATTGTGGGGGCTGTAGTCTCCCTGCATCCCCCCCCCCGCACGGTGCACTGTGGGGGCTGTAGTCTCCCTGCATCCCCCCCGCACGGTGCATTGTGGGGGCTGTAGTCTTCTTGCGCACCCCTTTCGCGGTGCATTGTGGGGGCTGTAGTCTCCCTGCATTTCCCCCCTGCACGGTGCATTGTGGGGGCTGTAGTCTCCCTGCATTTCCCCCCCGCACGGTGCATTGTGGGGGCTGTAGTCTCCCTGCATTTCCCCCCGCACGGTGCATTGTGGGGGCTGTAGTCTCCCTGCATCTCCCCCTGCACGGTGCATTGTGGGGGCTGTAGTCTCCCTGCATTTCCCCCCGCACGGTGCATTGTGGGGGCTGTAGTCTCCCTGCATTTCCCCCCCGCACGGTGCATTGTGGGGGCTGTAGTCTCCCTGCTTCCCCCCCCCGCACAGTGCATTGTGGGGGCTGTAGTCTCCCTGCATTCCCCCCCCGCACGGTGCATTGTGGGGGCTGTAGTCTCCCTGCATTTCCCCCCCGCACGGTGCATTGTGGGGGCTGTAGTCTCCCTGCATTTCCCCCCCCGCACGGTGCATTGTGGGGGCTGTAGTCTCCCTGCATTTCCCCCCCGCACGGTGCATTGTGGGGGCTGTAGTCTCCCTGCATCCCCCCCCCGCACGGTGCATTGTGGGGGCTGTAGTCTCCCTGCATCCCCCCCCGCACGGTGCATTGTGGGGGCTGTAGTCTCCCTGCATTTCCCCCCCCCGCACGGTGCATTGTGGGGGCTGTAGTCTCCCTGCATTTCCCCCCCCCCCGCACGGTGCATTGTGGGGGCTGTAGTCTCCCTGCATCCCCCCCCCACGTCATTGTGGGGCTGTAGTCTCCTGCATTCCCCCCCCGCACGGTGCATTGTGGGGCTGTAGTCTCCCTGCATCCCCCCGCACGGTGCATTGTGGGGCTGTAGTCTCCTGCATCCCCCCCCCGCACGGTGCATTGTGGGGGCTGTAGTCTCCCTGCATCCCCCCCGCACGGTGCATTGTGGGGGCTGTAGTCTCCTGCATCCCCCCCCACGGTGCATTGTGGGGCTGTAGTCTCCCTGCATCCCCCCCGCACGGTGCATTGTGGGGGCTGTAGTCTCCCTGCATCCCCCCCGCACGGTGCATTGTGGGGGCTGTAGTCTCCCTGCATCCCCCCCCCACGTGCATTGTGGGGCTGTAGTCTCCCTGCATTTCCCCCCGCACGGTGCATTGTGGGGGCTGTAGTCTCCCTGCATCCCCCCCGCACGGTGCATTGTGGGGTGTAGTCTCCTGCATCCCCCCCGCACGGTGCATTGTGGGGTGTAGTCTCCCTGCATCCCCCCGCACTGCATTGTGCTTTTTCCCAGGGATTGTGGGGTGTGTCTCCTGCATTTCCCCCCCCGCACGGTGCATTGTGGGCTGTCTCCTGCATCCCCCCCCACAGTGCATTGTGGGGTGTAGTCTCCTGCATTTCCCCCCCGCACGTCATTGTGGGGGCTGTAGTCTCCTGCATCCCCCCGCACGTCATTGTGGGGGCTGTAGTCTCCTGCATCCCCCCCCGCACGGTGCATTGTGGGGCTGTAGTCCCCTGCATTTCCCCCCCCACGTCATTGTGGGGCTGTAGTCTCCTGCATTTCCCCCCTGCACGTGCATTGTGGGTGTAGTCTCCCTGCATCCCCCCCCACAGTGCATTGTGGGGTGTAGTCTCCTGCTTTTCCCCCCGCACGTCATTGTGGGGTGTAGTCTCCTCATCCCCCCCACGTGCATTGTGGGGCTGTAGTCTCCTGCATTTCCCCCCCGCACGTCATTGTGGGGGCTGTGTCTCCTCATCCCCCCCGCCTCTTGTGTGTGTCTCTCATTCCCCCCGCCGTTGTGGGTGTCCCCTGCTCCCCCCCGCCGTCATTGTGGGTGTAGTCTCCTGCATTCCCCCCCCACGTGCACTGTGGGGTGTAGTCTCCTGCATTTCCCCCCCCCACGTGCATTGTGGGGTGTCTCCCTGCATCCCCCCCACGGTGCTTGTGGGCTGTAGTCTCTCTGCATTTCCCCCCGCACTGCATTGTGGGTTAGTCTCCTGCATTTCCCCCCCGCACGTCATTGTGGGGCTGTAGTCTCCCTGCATTTCCCCCCGCACGGTGCATTGTGGGGGCTGTAGTCTCCCTGCATTTCCCCCCGCACGGTGCATTGTGGGGGCTGTAGTCTCCTCATTCCCCCCCGCACGTGCATTGTGGGGCTGTGTCTCCTGCATTCCCCACCCCGCACGGTGCATTGTGGGGCTGTAGTCTCCTGCATTCCCCCCCGCACGGTGCATTGTGGGGGCTGTAGTCTCCCTGCATCCCCCCGCACGGTGCATTGTGGCTGTAGTCTCCTGCATTCCCCCCCCGCACGTGCACTGTGGGGGCTGTAGTCTCCCTGCATTTCCCCCCGCACGGTGCATTGTGGGGCTGTAGTCTCCTCATCCCCCCGCACGGTGCATTGTGGGGGCTGTAGTCTCCTGCATTTCCCCCGCCGCACGGTGCATTGTGGGGGCTGTAGTCTCCTGCATTTCCCCCTGCACGGTGCATTGTGGGGGCTGTAGTCTCCCTCATCCCCCCCCACGTGCATTGTGGGGGCTGTAGTCTCCTGCATTTCCCCCCCGCACGGTCATTGTGGGGCTGTGTCTCCTGCATCCCCCCGCACGGTGCATTGTGGGGCTGTAGTCTCCTCATCCCCCCGCACGGTCTTGTGGGGGCTTAGTCTCCTGCATTTCCCCCCGCACGTGCATTGTGGGGTGTAGTCTCCTGCATCCCCCCGCACAGTCATTGTGGGGTGTAGTCTCCTGCTTTTCCCCCCCCTGCACGTGCATTGTGGGGCTGTAGTCTCCCTGCATCCCCCCCGCACGGTCATTGTGGGGCTGTAGTCTCCCTGCATTTCCCCCCCGCACGGTGCATTGTGGGGCTGTAGTCTCCCTGCATCCCCCCCCCCGGTGCATTGTGTTAGTCTCCTTCCCCCCCCACGTGCATTGTGGGGGCTGTAGTCTCCTGCATTCCCCCCCCCACGGTCATTGTGGGGCTGGTCTCCTGCTCCCCCCCGCACGGTCATTGTGGGGGCTGTGTCTCCTGCATCCCCCCCGCACGGTGCATTGTGGGGCTGTAGTCTCCTGCATTCCCCCCGCACGGTGCATTGTGGGGCTGTACTCCTGCATCCCCCCCCACGGTCATTGTGGGGGCTGTAGTCTCCTGCATTCCCCCCCGCACGGCACTGTGGGGCTGTAGTCTCCCTGCATTTCCCCCCGCACGTGCATTGTGGGGTGTAGTCTCCCTGCATCCCCCCCCACGTCATTGTGGGGCTGTAGTCTCTCTGCATTTCCCCCCCGCACGGTGCATTGTGGGGCTGTAGTCTCCTGCATTCCCCCCCGCACGGTGCATTGTGGGGGCTGTAGTCTCCCTGCATTCCCCCCCGCACGGTGCATTGTGGGGGCTGTAGTCTCCCTGCATTTCCCCCCCCCCCGCACGGTGCATTGTGGGGGCTGTAGTCTCCCTGCATTTCCCCCCCCCGCACGGTGCACTGTGGGGGCTGTAGTCTCCTTGCGCACCCCTTTCGCGGTGCATTGTGGGGGTGTTGTCGTCCCCCCCCACCCGCGGGCAGGTCGTTCTCGTGCCGCAGCGCGTGGCGCGGTCCCGGCCGGGCTCCGCGTGACTCCGCAGCCCGCCGGGCCCTGTGGCTGCCGGGGGGGTCCGGCCTCGGGCGAGGAGCCCAGCGGAGCCCGGGGCAGCAGCCCAGGTAGGGCGCGGGGCGCGGTCCGGGGCGCGGGCGCTGGTCTCCGCCGGGCGGTGGAGCGGCACTTGGGGGCATCGCCGCGGATAAAACACCGTCGCCGAAGTCCCCCGGGGCCCGGGTCAGGGAGGGCGAGCGAGGCGCTCGTAGGGGAATCTCCTTCGCGCCTTTTGGCAGCTGGTGCAAGGGGAAGAAATAGTAACGGGGATGGAGCGGGGCCCCGCTGCACAAATCCATGCTCTGCTTCACTCCAGTATTTCCTTCCAGTGCTTGCTGTTGCTGCTGTTTAAAAAACCCCGAACAAAAGACCTCCCTTTTCTTTTCCAAGATCCTTACCCTTCCTCTCTTGGCTTTTGGGCGCATTTGAGCAAGTCCCCACGTGAGCCCTCTGTTCCCTAGAGCATGACTCTGCACTACTTGTAAGATTGCGAGTTTCTGACCGTTGCCATTGTTTTATCCCCGTTTCCATTTCTACGTTTCCTTCTTGGCAGCCATTGGATTGTTTCCAGCGTTTGCTCTGGCGCAAATGTCACTTTGGTTAAAGGAGGACAGTTCCTTAGCTGTGCACGCACATTAGGGAGCTCAGCCGAGCTCTGGGAGTGGGGTTTTACTTGGCACAACCATTAATTTTGGGATTATTACAATTTAGGTGAAGTCAATTTGCCAGAGCTCTTTATGGGTTCAGTCCTGCCATTACTTATGCACAAGAACAACGAGGAGTCCTTGTGGCACTTTAAAGACTAGGGGCTTGTCTATACCGGCAATTAACAGCACTGCAACTGTCTCGCTCAGGGGTGTGAAAAAGCACACCCCTGAGCGCAGCAAGTTGCAGCATTGTAAAGCACCAGTGTAAACAGTGCCCCCCCGCGCTGGGAGCTGTGCCCCTCGTTGAGGTGGTTTTTCTAAGAGCGCTGGGAGAGCCGTCTCCCAGCACTGCGCTGTGACCACACAAGGCACGTTAAAGCACTGCCGGCGTGGACTAGCCCTAACAAATGTATTTGGGCATAAGCTTTCGTGGGCTAGAACCCACTTCATCAGATGCATGGAGTGGAAAATACAGTAAGCAGAATATATATACAGCACATGCAAAGATGGGAGTTGCCTTACCAAGGGGGCGTGGGGTCAGTGGCTCATGAGGCCAATTCAATTAAGGTGGAAGTGGCCTATTCTCAACAGTTGACAAGAGAGGGAAAATTACTTTTGTAGTGCTAACGAGGCCAGTGCAATCAAGGTCTACCTTGGCCATTTCCAGCAGTTGACCAGAAGGTGTGAGTATCAGCAGAGGGAAAATTACTTTTTATAGTGACCTAGTCACTCCCAGTCTTTATTCGGGCCTAATTTGATGGTGTCCAGTTTGCAAATTAATTCCAGTTCTGCAGTTTCATGTTGGAGTCTGTTTTTGAATTTTTTTTGTTGAAGAATTGCCACCTTTAAGTCTGTTATTGCGTGTCCAGGGAGATTGAAGTGTTCTCCTACTGGTTTTTGAATGTTACCATTCTTAATGTCTGACTTGTTTCCATTTATTCCTTTGTATAGAGACTGTCTTGTTTGGCCAGTGTACATGGCAGAGAGATATTGCTGGCACATGATGGCATATATCACATTGGTGCAAGTGAAGGAGCCCCTTCTTGTCAACTGTTGAGAATAGCCCACTTCCAGCTTTAATTGAATTGCCCTCGTTAGCACTGACCCCCCTCCCCCTTGGTAAGGCAACTCTTATCTTTTCATGTGCTGTGTATATATATATATCCTGCTTACTGTATTTTTCACTCCATGCATCTGATGAAGTGTGTTTTAGCCCACGAAAGCTTATGCCCAAATAAATATGTTAGTCTCTAAGGTGCCACAAGGACTCCTCATTTTTTGCTGATACAGACTAACACGGCTCCCCCTCTGAAACCTGTCATTATGCACAAGAGTAACTTTACTCATTTGAGCAGTCCCAGTGCAGCCAATGGGAGTATTTGCATGAGTGAAGTTATTCATGTGTGTGTATAGGATCGGGGCCTACATTCAGAGTACTCTGCTCTGCTTCATGGCTGCAGTTTACCAGAGTAAAACACTGAAGGAATTGAGTTGAATCATTTGAGTCATGTGGGCCTTGAGCTGCTGAGACATAGCGGATGTCTAGAGAGAATGGAAATAAGGGCCTCTCATCGTGATTAAATTTGATGGGCCAAAATTCCTGTACACCTGTTTGATCGACAGTGGGCGGCCTGCGTGCAGTAACTTGTTCTCATCTTATGCTGTGATAGCTACCCATTCAAATCCTGCCCAGCTGACCCAGAGCTCTTGGGGGAGAGGGACAGCAGACTGACCCATTGCTCATGGGGGGGGGGTGGAGGGGGATCGGGAGCACACTGACCCATTGCTCAACGGGGGGAGGGAGATCGGGGAGCACACTGACCCATTGCTCGCAGGGGGAAGTGGAGAGCAGACTGACTCATTGCTCACAGGTGGGAGGAGGAGTGGGGAGCAGACAGACCCATTGCTCACAGGCTGGAGGGGGAACAGGGAGCATAGAATCAGAATCTCAGGGTTGGAAGGGACCTCAGGAGGTCATCTAGTCCAACCCCCTGCTCAAAGCAGGGCCAATCCCCAACTAAATCCTCCAAATTTTTTTTTCTATTTGCCCCAGATCTCTAAATGGTCCCGTCAAGGATTGAACTCACAACTCTGGGTTTAGCAAGCCAATGCTCAAACCACTGAGCTATCCCTCCCTGACTGACCCATTGCTCAAGGGGGAGTGGAGCTAACCTGAGCTGCTGGGTTCTTTCTGTTCCCTGTTTCACTCTCCTTCAGCAGCCCTGATTGGCTGCTGTTCCCCTTGAGGAGGTGGGGCAGTGGAGAAGGCAGCCGGGCGGGGGGGTTCCCTGGGCTGGGCTGGAGACCTCAGGGGGTTGAGGTGTGGCAGCCAGGATGGGAATCCCGTCGGGGTGACAGCCTCCTGGCTAGAGCGGGTGCCGCTGTCACCCTGGTGTAGCCATCCCGTGTGGGAAGGGCAATGAACTCTGCTGGCATGAGCCACCATTACCCTGGGGCTGTCCCAGGGTAACCGTGTCAGCGAGAGTCCCCTGTAACGGAATTAGCTACGCTGGCAGCCAGTCTGCATGCAGAACTGCTGATGAGGAATCTGGGTGAGCTAAACAGCAATAAGCCACTCCAAACCTGAAATGAGCAGCCCCTGGGTATTGACGCTGGTTTTACTTAATCCAGCTGCTGCCACTTGCCGGTGTCGGCAAGGCCTGAGAAACTAAGGCCTGGTTGATGCTAAAAGGTTGGGTCCACATAGCCACGTCGGTCAGGGGTCTGAAACAGCCACCCCCCGAGTGCCGTAGCCACGCCGACCTAGCCCTCCGTGCGGGGGCAGTTCGTTCGATGGAAGAATGCTTCCATCTACCTGGTTGCTGTTGCTTGGGGAGGTGGAGTTCCTACCGTGATGGAGAAACCCCTTCCATTGCCATAGTCTGCATCTGTGCTGCAAAGTTACAGCCAGCAGCTGACGGAGGGCCGGCACCACAGTGATGCCACTGGACTGCCTGTTGTGTAGACACAGCCTGAGAAACTTTGTTTCCATGCGTGGTTGCTAGACTGTACAGCCAAGCATACCCCCCCCACCCCCCCGCATCTGCCCTACCCTCACCCACCCAAAGGCAAGTACCCCAAAGTCAGGCATTGCAAAGTTCCGAGTTTTGTAGCACCTAGCTCAGTGAGTCTGCGGGATCTATATTAAGGCCTAGATGAGGGATTAGCAGACACCTTGCCAGTGTGCCATGTGCACGAATCCTGTGCTGTGGGGACCTTCAGTCTGACTGGCTTTGTTTTTGTTCTCTTGGGCGCTAACTCTTGGGTGCTGACTAATTGTTTCCCATGCACAGCCTGCACTGGGTTGCACCTTGGAAGTTCTTCAGGGACTGGGGATCAGGGGAAGGAATCCTTCCCTGCAGACTACTGGAGACTGGACCAGTATTTGCCAGAGGCGGAGAATAGGAGGAATGGAGGGGCACCAGTGGCCAAGGCCCACATGATAGCAGGGAAATGATTACATGAGAGGTACCCAGTTGGTCCCAGCAAGTGACCTGCACCCACACGCTGCAGAGGAAGGCACCTCCCCACCCCGCCGCCCCCAAGGCCACTGCCAAATCTGACCTGGGCAAAAATTCCTTCCCAGCCCCACCTATGGCAATCAGGTGGACCTTGAGCATGGGAGCAAGAACCAGCCAGCCACATGCTCGAGAGAGAGAGAATGCTCAGGGCCACCTCAGAGCCCTGGCCCATCCTGTCCAGTGTCCCATCTCCAGCCATGGCCATCCCTGGTGCTGCAGAGGAAGGAGAGGGGAAAAGACAAATGGGATACATGGGGGTGGGGAAGGAATCGTGACCTCTGCAGGTGACTGGCTGAAGCACTGAAGCATGTGATTTTAGGAACATCAGATGTTAACCGAACTGGACCCCTGGGCTGCTGAGCCCTGCATCCTACCACCACACGCATCCCTGTCACACAATCACACTCATATATTTGTTGGCCTCTCTCTCAAAACTAATTAAATTGCCCCCACAAATCCTGTTCGGAGGCTGTTCCAGAACCGCTGCGCTCCCATGGTTAGAAACCTCTTAATTTCCAGCCTGGATTTGTTCCTGGCCAGTTTATCCCGATCTGTTCTTGTGCCCCATTGTCCGTTAGCTTAAATGGCTCTTCATCCTCGCTGGCATCGCTCTTTGTTAACACATCAGGGGGTGACCCTGTTCGCTCTCAGCCCTTCTCAACCAAAGTGGGTTGCGACTCCGTTTTAATGGGGTCGTCAGGGTTGGCATTAGACTTACTGGGGCCAAAGCCAAAGCCCTCGGGCTTCAGCCCTGGGTGGCGGGGCTCAGGTTACAGGTCCCCTGCTGGGGCTGAATCCCTTGGGCTTCGGCTTTGGCTCCCCACCCAGGGCAGCGGCACTGGGGCAGGCTCGGACTCCGGTCCCCCCTCCTGGGGTTGTGTAGTAATTTTTGTTGTCAGAAGGGGATCGTGCTGCAGTGAAGTTTGAGAACCCCTGTGCAAGGCTAAAGGAGCCACGTTCGTCCCATCTCCTGTCAGAAAGAAGGGCCAGATGGTATTGGTTGGGTCAACAGCTGTATATCTAGGAGTGCTTTCTTAGAACACAAGATGCTGGACACACTTAGTGAAAGAATAAATGCTGAACAAAAGTGTCTCAAACCAAAGCCTCAGTGGGAGAGCCCTGAATGTGCCTGTAGGTTTCTGCTCGAACCTTGATTTGCTTTGTCAGCTCTTCACTCGAGGTTTTGGTCTCCAGCCGCTTACACAGCGTGCAGTTTTGCTTACACAAGTGGTGCCGTGGACTTTGGCCAGATTATCCACGTGTATAAGCATGTGCGGGACAGGGGCCTTTAGGCATAATCTGCAAATGTGATGACCTAAGAAATGCCAGCTGCCTCCCCTTGGCTTCCTTCTCTTTGTTCTTCAGGTTATGAACGTTCCTGGCTGAGCCTGTGGTACAGCCAGGAAGCTGGCCACACTCCTCATTTGCATCTCAGCGAGCCTCCTGAATCGGAGAATATCGGGGTTGGAAGGGACCTCAGGAGGTCATCTAGTCCCACCCCCGGCTCAAAGCAGGACCAATCCCCAATTTTTGCCCCAGATCCCTAAATGGTCCCCTCAAGGACTGAACTCACAACCCTGGGTTTCGCAGGCCAATGCTCAAACCACCAAGCTATCCCTCCCCCTGATGCACAGACTTCTGCATAACTGTGAGCTTCCCACATTCGCTCCGACTGCTCCAGTGATCGTCAGCCTGCTGTTGCTTGGGATGTTCGCCCTTGTGGGCAGTGGCAGCAGAAAGGCCAGCGGTTGGCCTGGGGTCTGAGCATTACCCATCCCCCTTAGGGATGGTTCTCCGAGGACGTCACTGGTGCTGTTACTGCCTGCGCTGAAATGGCTGGTTTGCATCAGGTAACCCACCTATACAGGTCTGACCCATTAAAGAGCAGCGACTCGCCCTCCCTGTCTGGGGAGCTGGTTCCGCTGCGGGTCGGCTGGTAACGAAGGGTTTTCTACACCGCAAAGCTGCACCCTTGAACTGAAGATACAGCTTTAAACTGGTGCCAAAGGCTGTGGGGGTACCCTGAATTCAGTTTAAACCAGGCGTACTTCGGCTTAGCTTAGCTCACTTTGGAACAGGTTTAAGCTAAATTGAAATAAGCCACCCTTGGACTGAAGGCAGAGCGTCCGCTGAAAACCTGATTTACCTTGTATCGGTGCTACTTCTGCCTTTGGGACTGTTCTGAAAGAAGTAACCGTATGGCGGGAGACAGCCAAACGCCAGCCCAGTATCAGCACTGAGAGTCAATGAAAGATAGTCCTAAAAACAATGCATGAGATTTACAAAATACCACACAGCAGGAACAAAGCTATGTGGAGATATGGAGGGCAGCCCCCCGGCTGTTATCTGAGTCATGCACAAGCTTGATCCGCTTACATCTAATAAACAATAGCAGCAGGTCTAAACCCCAGGAAAAGGCCTTGAGATAACAGCAAAACATTCCTCCTCCCCTGTAGCAGGACAGGCCAGCTTCTCAGCTGTGCACTTCACAGGCTGCCGCTTAGGGGAAGGACGGTGGTTTTTCATTGTCATAGAATGTTTTTGCAGCTTTCTTGAGCTCACAGATGGCCAAGAATGGCCTTGCCCAAATGTCAGGATTTGACCCCGAGTGTTTGTGTGTGTGTTGGGGGCAGACAGAGGGAAGACATTCTCACCGCCCCATAAGAATGGCTATGCTGGGTCAGATCAATGGTCCATCTAGCCCAGTGTCCTGTCTTCCGACAGTGGCCAATGCCAGGTGCTTCAGAGGGAATGAACAGAACAGGTCATCATCAAGTGATCCATTCCCTATCATCCACTCCCAGCTTCTGGCAAATAGGCTAGGGACACCCAGAGCATGGGGTTGCATCCCTGACCATCTTGACTAATAGCCAGTGACCTTATCTAGTTGTTTTTTTGAACCCTCTTATAGTTTTCACCTTCACAACATCCCCCTGGTAACCAATTCCACAGGTTGACTGTGCGTTGTGTGAAGAAGTACTGCCTTTTGTTTGTGTTAAACCTGCTGCCTGTTCGTTTCGTTGGTGACCTCTGGTGCTTGTGTTATGTCAAGGAGTAAATAACCCTCCTTATTCACTTCACACTATCCTTGATTTCATAGGCCTCTTTCATATCCCCCCCTCGGTCATCTCTTTTCCTAGCTGAAAAGTCCCGATCTTTTTAATCTCTCCTCGTATGGCAGCCGTTCCATCCCCCTCATCGTTTTTGTTGCCCTTTTCTGAACCTTTTCCAATTCTACTGTATTTTTTTTTTTGAGATGGGGTGACCAGAACTGCCCGCAGTATTCAAGGTGTGGGTGTACCACGGATTTATATATGGACATTATGATATTTTCTGTTTTCTTATCTATCTCTTTCCTAATGGTTCTTAACATTCTGTTAGGTTTTTTGACTGCTGCTGCACATTGAGCTAATGTTTTCAGAGAACAGCTAATTTAGACCCAATTATTTTATATGTATAGTTGGGATTATGTTTTCCAATGTGCATGACTTTGCATTTATCAACACTGAATTTCATCTGCCATTTTGTTGCCCAGTCACCCAGTTTTGAGAGATTCCTTTGTAACTTTTTGCAGTCTGCTTTGGACTTAACTGTCCTGGTAATTTTGTATTGTCTGTGAACTTTGCTACCTCACTGTTTACCCCTTTTTCCAGATTATTTATGAATATGTTGAACAGCACCGGTCCCAGTTGAGACCCCTGAGGGACATCACTATTTACCTCTCTCTGTTCTGAAATCTGACCATTTATTCCTACCCTTTGTTTCCTGTATTTTAACCAGTTACAGATCCATGACAGGACCTACCCTCTTATTCCATGACTGCTTACTTTGCTTAAGAGCCCTTGGTGAGGGACCTTGTAAAAGATTTTCTGAAAGTTCAGGTACGCTATATCCACTGGATCACCCTTGTCCACATGTTTGTTGACCCCTCAAAGAATTTTAGTAGATCGGTGAGGCATGATTTCCCTTTAAAAAACCATGTTGACTCTTTCCCAACAAATCATGTTCATCTCTGTGTGATAATTCTGTTCTCTACTATAGTTTCAACCAATTTTCCTGGTACTGAAGTCAGGCTTACCAGTTTTAATTGCCAGGATCACCTCTGGAGCCTTTTTTAAAAATTGGCATCACATTAGTTATCTTCCAGTCTTCAGGTACAGAAGCCGATTTAAATGAGAGGTTACAGACTACAGTGAGTAGTCCTGCAATTTCACAGTTGAGTTCCTTCAGAACTTTTGGGTGAATCGCCTCTGGTCCTGGTTTCTAATTACCATTTAATTTATCAATTTGTTCCAATTTGCTCCTCTACTGACATCTAAATCTGGGACAGTTCCTCAGATTTGTCACCTAAAAAGAATGGGGCAGGTGTGGAAATCTCCCTGACATCCTCTGCAATGAAGACTGATACAAAGAATTCATTAGCTTCTCTGCAGTGGCGTTGTCTTCCCTGAGTTCTCTGCACCACCACTGTCTAGTGGCCTCCCCTCGATTATTTGGCAGGCTTCCTGCTTTTGACATAATTTAAAAAAAATTGCTGTTAGTTTTTCAGTCTTTTGCTAGTTGCTCTTCAGATTCTTTTTTTGCCTGCCTAATTGTCCTTTACCTTCAGTTTATGCTTCTGTTTTTCTCAGTAGGATTTAACTTCCAATTTTTAAAGGATACCTTTTTGCCTCGGACTGTTTCTTTTACTTTGTTATTTAGCCACGGCGGCACTTATTTGGTCTTCTTACTGTGTTTTTTAATTTGGGGCATACATTTAATTTGAGCCCCTATTATGGCATTTTAAAAAGTTTCCATGCAGCTTGCAGGCATTTCACTTTTGTGACTGTACCTTTTAATGTCCATGTCCATTTAACTAACTTCCTCTTTCTGAAGTTTAATGCTACTGTGGTATTTCCCCCCCCCCCCGGATATTTAATTTAATTATATTATGGTCACTATTACTGAGGGGTTCTCTTGGATCAGATCCTGTACTCCACATCGATCTAAATCAAGAATTGCCTCTCCTCTTGTGGGTTCCAGGACTGACTGCTCCAAGAAGCAGTCATTTAAGGTGTCTAGAAACTTCATCTCTGCCCCCGATCCTGAGGTGACATGTACCCAGTCAATATAGGGATAGTTGAAATCCACCATTATTATTGAGTTTTTTATTTTAATTGCCTCTCTGATCTCCCTGGGCATTTCACAGCCATCTCACCATCCTAGTCAGGTGGTTGGTAGTATATTCTTACTGTTATATTCATATTATTCAAGCATGGAATTACTATCCCTAGAGATTCTGTGTTACAGTTTCTGTGGTATAGGTAAAACGCTCTACAGAACCGTTGAATGTCAAGGTAGATACGGAGAGGAGTTGCTAAGACTGAATGTTGCATGCAGATGGATGCAGATTGAGGTGTGTCCATGCTCCTTTCCTAGTTACTCGTGGAGCCCTCAAATGCACCGTGCCTGGTAGAGACCTTTAACCCTGGTCTAGAATTGGCTGGAAGAGGGCACCATAGAGTGATGTGTGATGCTACGTTCTTTCAGGGACTGACGTCTCTAAAGTGTGCCCAGTCTGTGATGGTGCAGGGACCAAGCCCAGGACCGAGCCTCTATTTCTGCAGCTTGCCACTCTGTGACCAAGCAAGGATGGTCTGTCAGCTGGTATGTCAAAAGGATGAGTTTCTGAGCGTGGGGCAGAAGGACCAGCATCCTTTGCTGCCAACTGCGCCTCTGAGCTAGGAGTGAGGGCCTAACTGCCTTGAGAGGGCAGGAGTTGGACAGATAATTGGCCAACGTTCCTCCCTCAGAAGCCAAAGGAATCCCCTCACCAGGAATAAATTGGGCCCCAGAGGTCTGATTTGCCCAGGTTAGGCCCAGCTGCAGTGCTCCAGTTTGTCATTTGTTAGGGATCTGTAGACTTATTGATCAATGAGGAGATAAGTAAGAACTTGCCTCATCTGCTTACTGGTGGAGTTCAGTGTATTTGTGGGGAGCGGGCAGGGCTGTCCGAACCAGATACAGTCAAAGGTTGTCAGTTTTGCCTTAAACCGATGGGTAAAGTTACCTGCATATTGGAAGGGTTTCCTCCCCTGGCCACACTAGGAAATATCTCCAGCACTGCAAGTCCCAGGGAATGCTGGGTGTCTGCTGCAATTGGCAGGTGCATACGGGCTGTTGCGTAGCTAAAGTCTATATTGTAGGGGGATGGTGATGTCATTTCTCTTTCCCTCTTCCTGGTCCCAAGGGATTTAAGTTGACAAGGGCATGGGATAGGAAGTAAGTTCACAAGTCCTGTTCTGGGCATTATTCCAACTAAGAGCATACTGAGCAGAACACTTACTGAAGAGGTCTGTAGATGCTGAAAGATTTGGACTCCCTTCCTAAGGAATTTACCAATGCCCTTTACTCTGATTCTGAACTGGATGTCGGGATATCTAGTCATCCCGTATTTGTTGAGTGTGTGCGATGAGATTTTTAGCACTAACACTTTACTCACTGAACCCCATTAAGTCTTGCTTTTGCCAACCCACAACTTAGCTAATTCTCACGCACATCCCCAGCAATCTCACTCCATTTCCCCTTTGTCTTGTTTTTTTAAAATCTATCAATTCCAAAAAATTAGTACTAGAGCTGTTTTGATGAAATGATTTTTTCAGAAAATGCCAGTTCATCAAAACCAAAACATGTTGTGAGAAAGGGTCAGTTTGAATCAATTTTCCAACTTGAAAAAATATCTAAAAATTGTCAAAACATTGCAATTTAAACAAAAATTCAATTTTTCTAGTTTGAAATGACTTTTTGTTTTGAAGTCTAGCCAATTATGGTAAAAAAAAATTATTTATTTTTTGGTTAAATGGCCAAAATCAAAATGAATCATTCCAGTTGACCTGAACCAGTTGGTTTTTTCAGGTTTTTGATTTGCAAAAACTTTCAAGAGTTTGATTTTTCATCCTGAATTGGGATGGGAAATGTTTTTGAAATTTACAGGCACTTACTAAAGAGAACTGCAGATTATAATTCTCTCATGATCTGGGTTTCCTAGCACATCCCTTTGAGGATATCACAACCAAGTGTTCACATTAGCAGGTGATCATCTTTCCTAGCCTGATGTATGACTTGCTTTCTGTCATTATAAAGTGATTAGAGAGACAAGGTGGGAGAGGTAATATCTTTTGTTAGACCAACTTCTATTGGTGAAAGAGACCAGCTTTCAAGCTTACACAGACTTCTTTTTCATACGTAAACATCAAAGCTTCTCTTTCACCAACAGAAGTGGGGGCAATACAAGATATTACCCCACCCACCTTGTCTCTCTAATATCCTGGGACCCACATGGCTACAACAACACTGCAAACAATTATAAAGCTACGTCCATTACCTGTCGTTGGGGGATATGTTCTCAGAAAGTGCTCAGTCATGGATCTGGTTCTGAATGATTAGGGTGTTTGCCTGTAAGAAGAGATGTGAATTTTAAGCTGTAAAGCTTTGCAAACAGAAGAATTTTGAGATGATGTGAAAACCACAACAGAGTGCACAGGCCCCCATGCATGTGCAATTTTTAAAACTAGAGGTTTCAAAAAGAGTTTTTTTAAATCCACGTGCTGAATGGCTTGTAGAGCTGTAATAGGGGGACCAGGTGAAAAGCTCACAGATGAAACTTTGTGTGGGCTTTCACCTGTGACATGATGTGAAAATGGCTCTCCTGGAGGTCCTTTCCTGTTCTGTCCTGGGGGCCATTTGTACTCTGCACCTTTGTGTTCTGTGGTGCTGAGCATTTTGTTGTGGCCACTTACAGACCTGCTAGTAGCAGCTGGTAAGGAGATGTGTGTCTGCAGGGATGCTACAGGAGCACCAAGTGGATCATCCTCCAGACGTTGTGAGGTGCACGCTGGGTGCTGTAAATACCATTTGCTCATCATTAGAGCTGATCACAATTTTTTTTTCAACAAAAAGTTAACTTTATTTGAAACTAAAACTTCTGCAAGGGGCATTTAGGTCCCCTCCCCGCCCCCATTTTCTGGATTTTTGTTTTTGTGTTGTTCCTATCTCCCGTTTTATCATGAAATTCAATAGAATGAATTATGTCTGTGTGGTGTTTTTTTTTTCACATTTTTTTTGGACATGCTAGCTCTTCAAAAAATCCTCACATTTGGAAAACGTTAGTGACGAAAGGAAAAATGGAAAAGTGAAAGGGGAAAATCCCTAACCATCATTCCTTTTCCCCCCACAGGCAACCTTAATACAGCATTTCATAACTTTTGCCACCTTAATAATGTTCTTTGAACACAGTTTTTGTGTGGTGTGTGTGTGTATATATGTATGGGGGTAGGGATGAGGGGGAGAGAAGATCATTAAAGGGGAAACTAGTTCTTTGCAAATTTGTCTATTGTCCCTTTGACCCTACAGCCAATATGTTACATGGGCAGCTACACTCTGCATGCACACATTAACTTTTAACTTGGATTCGCAGTCTGCGCCAAAGTCAGTCAGATCCCAATAGCATAGGTCCTGGTGCTGGGGGTGCTGCAGCACCCCCTGACTTGAAGTGACTTCCATCACATACAGGGTTTACAGTTTCAGAGGAGCAGCTCGTGTAAGTCTGTATCCGCAAAAAGAAAAGGAGGACTAGTGGCACCTTAGAGACTAACCAATTTATTTGAGCATAAGCTTTTGTGCCACAAGTCCTCCTTTTCTTTTTAGGGTTTACAGTGTGGTTCAACGGCTCTCAGCATCCCCACTATAAAAATTGTTCCAGCATCCCTGCCCAATAGTTACGGTAGGTGCACAAGTCTGTATCTGCTGTATTCACTGGAAACAAAGGGCCTGTTACATTTACTCTTGAGTCAGTTGAATCCTTTTACTCTCTGTGGAATTAGCTGTCTCATCGTGATGAGTCTGAGGCCAATAGTTTAATAATCTATATTTAGAACCGGCCGAAGGAAAAAACAAGTAAGTTTTTAAAGACCAGGCCTATAAAGTTTAACAGTGGTGTCACTAGTAGGAAGTTATGGAAACGGCGCTACTAACCGGCAGACCAGTGGTGAGCTGGAGCCGGTTCATGCGAACCGGTTGTTAAATTTAGAAGCAGTTTTAGAACCGGTTGTTAGGGCTCCCTGAGCTCCCAGCTGGGGAGGCTCCCCTGGCCCCTGCCCTGCCTCCCCCCCCTCTCGCAGAGCCTCAGGGTGCCTCGCTGCCGGTGCCAGCGCTCTGGACCACTCCTGGGCAGCTCTGCAGCTCCTGCCGCATTGAGCAGCATGGTAAGTGCGGGGGGGGGCTGCGAGCTCCAGCAGGCCGCGCGGCATCCAGACACGCTGCCCTGAGCAGCATAGTAAGGGGGCTGTGGGAGGAGGGGTTGGATAAGGAGCAGGGAGTGGTTGGAGGGGGCGAAGGTTCTGGGGGGGCGGTCAGGGGACAGGGAATGGAGCGGGGTTGGGTAGGCAGTCGCTGCCCCAGAAAGCCAGGCTGGGGCTCGGCTGGGGCAGCCCCTCAGGCCAAGGGGGCCCCGACTCACGGCGCTAGGGGCTGTTGGAGACAGGGCCGGCTCTAGGCACCAGCAAAACAAGCAGGTGCTTGGGGCGGCCCATTTCTAGGGGCGGTATTCCGGCGCCGGCCATGCTGCCCGCTAGAAATGTGCCCCCGCCGCTCCAGCTCGCCTCCGCCTGCTCCCCTGAGCCCGCTGCCGCCGCTCCGCTTCTCCCTGCTCCCTCCCAGGCTTGCTGCGCGAAACAGCTGTTTGGCGCGCGGCAAGCCTGGGAGGGAGGGAGGGAGGGAGAGAGAAGCCGAGCAGCGGCAATGGTGGAGCAGAGGTGAGCTGGGGCGGGGAGCGGTTCCTCTACCCCCTCCCCCCCACCCGTTACTTCCTGCACTCCCCCCCACCCTCGCTCACCTCCGCTTCGCCTGCTCCCCTGAACGCGCTGCCTCCCCCCTCGTTGCTCATGCGGGGGGAAGCCGTAGGAAGCAATGGGGGGGGAAATGCGGCACACGCAGGGGAGGAGGCAGGGCCGGGGATTTGGGGAAGGGGTGGGGAAGGGGCGGGGGGGGCACAAAAAACCGGGGGCTGCCAAAAATATTTTTGCTTGGGGCGGCAAAAATCCTAGAGCCAGCCCTGGTTGGAGAAGGGGCTCGGTGCTAGAGGGGGGTGCATGGAGCAGCACCGTTTGGGGTGCGCGGGGCTATGGAAGGGCTGAGGGGCCCTGTGTCCTGTCTTGGGGCAGGGGCTGCACTGCGGCTGGTACCTGCACTGCGCAACCATCCGGGCAGCTGCTCCGGGGCCCCGCGGGCAGAGGCTGATCCAATGCCGCCTTGCTCAGCAGCCGCGGCTGAGCTCCATGCTGCTTCCTGCCCGGCCCAGGAAGCGTGACCGGCTGCGCTGGGCAGGGAGATCAGGCATCATGTGACTGGGCACCGTGTAGGGCCGGGGAGCCAGGCCCCTGGCAGCAGCAGCCTCCTCTGCCCCAGGAGCCGGGCAGGGCTGGCTGGTGTCATGGCTAGGGGCTGCCTTGGGCGTGCTGGGGCGAGGCCCCCCCAGTCTCTCCCGCTCCTGCACTGTGGGGCTGTCCGGCCTCCGCCGCTCGGGGGTGCTCACCTCCCACAGTGGGGAGTCGGGCAGAAGGGAGCCGCCGCCCCCCATGCCGGGAGCGACCCTACTGATGCAAGGGCTGCAGGACTCCTGCGCCACCAGCAGGCACCTGGGATGGAGAATGGGCCTGGGGAGGGCAGGGGGGCAGGACAGAGCCTGGGGGGACAGGAAGGGGCAGGATAGAGCCTGGGGGGCAGGATGGAGCCTGGGGAAGGTGGGAGGGGGCAGGACAGAGGCACATCCCTTAAATCAGAACTTTTTATAGGGAACTGGTTGTTAAGATTTGGCAGCTCATCACTGCTACAGACTATTTAATAGAGAATGGTAACCATCCCACAGCATTCTACAGTGGGGCTTTGATTCCCTGTTAAATTCATTGGGACTGGGTCACTGCAACATTCCCATTCCTCTGGCAGAAGTCCCTTTGCCTCCCCTGGAATTCAGCACCTTGGGGAGTAAAACTTTCCAGCTGAGAGAAACAAACCAATCTGCCTGGCTTTTCGGTGGAACAAGTGGGGATTTTCAGGTATTAGCTAAAGAGTGAGGCAAAGGAACAAGCAAACCCCTGTAAACCAGACTTACTGAGGTTTGCGATTTATTTTACTTAGTTCTTAAACATCCTCTGAGAACACCCATCTATTTGTGCTGCCTGCGTCTTCGAAGGAAGTGTGTATCGGCTTTTTTGTTTTTGCGACTTTGCAGCTAGAAAAAACATATACCAGAGAGAAAGTTCAGGGTATTTGTTTGCAATTATTTTGCAGAGAAATTTGACTTGTTGCCAAACTCTTCTATTTCCACAGAAATTCCAGCAGCAGATCTATGGGTGGGAGATTCTCTCTGCAAGGAGACAGAGAGACTGGCCTGAAAGTGGCTCAGCCTGTCTGACGGCCACCTGGGAAAAGGTCGTTTCCCTCTGATGCACCAGAGAAGGGCGACGGCAGAGCCATGTCTGTCGAGGATGATGGCTCTGTAATGCACCCCCCTGAGTCTGCAGTGGACCAGCGCTGGAAGTTCCTCGTCTTCTACCTCTGCTTTTACGGCTTCATGACCCAGATCAGACCTGGGGAGAGCTTCATCACCCCCTACTTGCTGGGAGCTGACAAGAACTTCACCATGGAAGAGGTGAGTTTGCAGTGTGTGTCTCTCCGCCTCCCCCACCATGCAGCTGCCATGCACCTGGCTCTGGAGAGCAGCAGTCTGCAACATGCGCTCCTTTTCAGCATCTCCTTAAGGGCAAGTTAGGCTCCCGTAAACACTGCTCCTGGGGGGCTGCTACAGGGGCTCACGGAAGTGATTCTCTCTGGCGGATGGGAGAGCAGTACGTGCTGAGATGAAGCAATGAGGGGGAGGTGAGAACAGCTACGTGCTAGTGATGCAAATCTATCTGTGAGGTGGGACAGCACCGGACTGGAGCGAGAGGTACATCCGTCCGGGACAGGTGTGCTCTCTGTACCAGTAATTCAGAGCCCTCTCCCCACTGGTAGGCCAGTGTCTGCCCCTTATATCTGTTTGTGTAGTGTGCGCAATTCCTTGTGTTTTTCACACAACCAGGCAACGCTCTTCTCAAGCAGCAAGAGCGCCCCAGCGCATCTGCAGGGGTGGTGGGAGTTCTTCTCCGTCCCTGTGTGCTAGCCGCCCGGCTGGGTTACGGGGTTTGCTCTTAGCTGGATTGCAAGCTACTGCCCCTTTGCATGTGGTTCAAGAGCTCCGAAGGCTGATGGCACCTCGGGGTGAGGGGTCCATCTGGGAGGCTGTCAGTGAAAAGGGGGCTCCTCTCCAGTGTTGTCCAGCGGTGTGAGGGGACACAGCCTGTGCATACATATGCTACACTAGGGTTTGGAGACAGCACCGGTGCCACGTTCTTCACGTGAGGCATTCTCAGCCCCGTTGTAAGAGCCGCTACCTCTGGGAGCTCGGTGTGTCTCGCTGAGCCGTGGAAAGGCCACAGGAGGTGCACTCCGTACCTGTGCCCACAAACGGAGCTCGCCCCAAGGCCACCCACGTGTGGGGGCTGAGTTAAACTGAGCTGGTTTTTAAATGTGAGAGCTGGGCCAAGGGTAGCCCAAGCTAAGACCCTGCTCCATGTTTAGGGGAGATGCTTGAGACCCCCACGGCCTGATGGATCCTGTGTGAAGATCCTGCTTCCCCACGCTGTCCCGCTGCCCTCCCCATCCCTGAGTCCAGAGCCTTTAGTTCCTGCTGCGTCTGTGCTGTGGCTGCCCAGCCCAGGCAGTGGAAATGAGAAACCCTTCAGACGGGCATGGTCAGAGATGGCAAAGTGCAGCGAGGCACAGCCCTGAGTTACCCTGCCTCGCTGACATGCAGGAGAGAGGAGACAGCTGCGCCGGGTTTCTAGGGGAGGTGTCTGAGTCGCTGTGGTTCTGAGAGGCCAGCCCTGGGGCCAGCTGGGATACTGCCGTGATGGTGCACGTTTCATGTATGGTTTGTCAGGGGAGGGAGAGGCTGTAACATCCTCTCTGTGATCAGCCAAAGGGCTCCTCAGCACTGCCCAGTGCTACCATGAGGGATCAGCCCTGGGCCTTGTGCTCAGGGCTCCCGAGGCAGAGCCTGGCGGGAGTGAGAGGGGAGCCCGGCAGAGAGGGCACAGAGAGGAGTGGGTGGGGAGACAGGGATGGGCTGTGGTTTGGAAACACTGGCGACGGCCTGCCACGGCTCCCCCCTGCTGTGTTCTCGTCTGAGTCTGGCCAGACCAGAAAAGTCAGCTGGGAGCCGCGGGTACAGAGGAGGCTGCTGTCAGTAGCAGGGAAGAGTGGGTACTTTTCATCCCGCTTTATCCCATTGTTCTGCTGGGCCCACAGCTCCCCCACCTCCCACCCCGTGGGGGTGGTCTGTGTGCCAGACCCTGGCGCTGGATATGGGCACTCCCAGGCTGTGGGGGGAGCATACAGCAGGCTTGGGGACGACATGGTTTCCGGCTGCCTTTCAATCCAGCTGGCCCAGGTGTCATCCCCCAGCATGATCGCTCTGTGGGGTGTTGGGGGGGTTGGTTTCCTCACTCCTCAACCTAATTTCCTTTTTTGACAGGGTTACAGGGCTAGTGGGCGGAGGGAGCAGTAGATGTGACGTATTGTGATTTTAGTCAGGCTTTGGATACAGTCCCACGTGATAGTCTCATAGACAAACTAGGGAAATGGGGTCTAGATGAAATTACTGTAAGGCAAGTGCAGAACTGGCTGAAAGACTGTACTGAAAGATAGTTTTCAATGGTTCGCTGACAAACTGGAAGGGCATATTTAGTGGGGTCCCCTGCATACAGTAATAGTCCATATTTTCATTAATGACTTGTATAATGCAGTGGAGAGTATGCTTATGAAATGTGCTGATGACACAAAGCTGCGAAGGGTTGCAAGCTGTTTGGCATACGGGATTAGGATTCAAAATGACCTTGACAAAGTAGAGAATTGGTCTGAAATCAACAAGATGAAATTCAGCAAAGACAAGTGCAAAGTACTTCACTCAGGAAGCAAAAGTCAAATGTACAACTCCGAAGTGGGGAAGAACAGGCTAGGGGTAGTTCTCCGGAAAAGGATCGGGCAGGGCGTGTTAGTGGGTCACAAATTGAATGTGAGTCAATAACATGATGTGGTTGTGAAGAAGGCTAATATCATTCTAAGGTGTAGTAACAGGAATGTTGGATGTAAGACATCGGAAGTAATTGTCCTGTCCTGCTTAGCAGTGGTGAGGTCTTAGCTGGAGAACTGTGTTTAATTCTTAGATTCATGGAGTCTAAGGCCAGAAGAGACCACTGGGACCATCCAGTCTGATGCCCTGTACAGCACAGGCCAGAGACCTGCCCCCAAAATAATTTTTTAGAGCAGATCTTTGATAAAAACATCCAACCTTGATTTAAAAATGGTCAGTGCTGGAGAATCCACCACGACCTCCGGTAAATTGTTCCAATGGTTAATTACGGTCACCATTAAAAATGTATTCCTTTATTTCCAGTTTGAATTTGTCTAGCTTCAGCTTCCAGCCATTGGAACGTGTTAGACCTCTCTCTGCTAGATTGAAGAGCCCATTATTAAATATTTGTTCCCCATGTAGGTGTTTATAGACTGTGATCAAATCATCCCTTAATTTTCTTTTTGTTAAGTGAATAGATCATACTCCTTGAGTGTGTAAGGCAGGTTTCGAATCCTTTCATCATTCTCGTAGCTCTTCTCTGACCCCTCTCCACTTTGTCAAATCCTTCTTGAATTGTGGGCACCAGCACTGGACACAGGATTCCAGCAGCAGTTGCACCAATGCCAAATGCAGAGGTAAAATAATCTTTCTACTCCTACTCGAGATTCCCCTGTTTATGCATCCCAGGATCACATTAACTCTTTTGGCCCACTGGGAAATAAAGTTCAGCTGATTATCCACCATGACCTCCAAATCTTTTTCAGAGTCCCTACTTCCCAGGATAGAGTCCCCATCCTGTAATTATGGCCAACATTCTTTTTTCCTAGTTTTGTACATTTACAGTTAGCCAAATTAAAATGCTTGTTGTTTGCTTGCGCCCAGTTTACCAAGCAATATAGATATCTGTCAATCAGTGTCCTCCTCTTTATTTACCACTCCTCCAATTTTTGTGTCATCTATAAACTTTATCAGTGATGATTTTATGTTTTTGTTCTAGTCATTGATAAAGATGTTACATAGCATAGGGCTAAGAACTGATTCCTGCATGATCTCATTGGAAACAGACCTGGTCAATGTCGATTCCCTGTTTACAGTTACATTTTTGAGACTTATCAGTTAGCCAGTTTTTCATCCATTCCATGTGTGCCATGTTCATTAAATATTGATCTATATTTTTAATCAGAATGTCACGTGGATCCAAGTAAAATGCCTTACAGAAGTCTTATTATCTCTACATTATTACCTTTATCGATGAAACTTATAATCTCATCTGAAAAAAGACATCAGTTTAGTTTGACAGGATCTATTTTCTATAAAGACATGTAGATTTGTATTCATTATATTATCGTCCTTTAGTTCGTTATTAATTGAGTCCCATATCAGCAGCTGGATGTCAGGCTGACAGGCCTATAATTACTCAGGTCATCCCAAAAAGAAAAGGAGTACTTGTGATACTAGAGATACTAACGGAATGGAAAGAGTGTTCTCACTATACTATGAGACTCTGTCATCTGTTTTTTCCCCAAATACAGAACAGAAATATTTATTGAACACCTCTGCCTTTTCTTCATTATTATTGACAATTCTACCATTTCCGTCTAGTAATGGACCAATACCATAGTCAGGATTCTTTTCGTTCCTAATATGTGTTAAAAACTTGTAGGCTCATAGACTTTTAAGGTGAGAAGGGACCGTTGTGATCATCTAGTCTGACCTCCTGCACGTCTCAGGCCACACAATCTCACGCACCCACTCCTGTAATAGTCCCATAATCTCTGTCTGAGTTACTGAAGTCCTCAAATCATGACTTAAAGACTTCAAGTTACGGCGAATTCACCATTTGAGAATCCACTCTTGTTCAAACCAGCTAGTGACCAGCTCCTCCTTATTGTCCTTAACTCTGTTAGTCATAGAGTTGTCCTGGAGTCCCTTGGCTTCCCGTATCAATTTTCTACAATTCATAATTTCTGCTTTATATTCATTATTATCATCTTCCCCTTTCTTCCATTTGTTTTATATATATAAAAAATATTTTTTACAGCTGTCTTCATTTCCCTTCTAAACCAGGCAGTTTTTCTAACCAGCACAATCTTCTTCCTCAGTTGTAGGATTAAGACTCATTGGGCATCATTCATTTGCAAATTGGATACAATTAACTTAGGCTTGAATAGAGACTGGGAGTGGCTAAGTCATTATGCAAGGTAACCTATTTCCCCTTGTTTTTTCCTACCCCCCCCCCCCCAAGACGTTCTTGTTAAACCCTGGATTTGTGCTGGAAATGGCCCACCTTGATTATCATACACATTGTAAGGAGAGTGATCACTTTAGATAAGCTATTACCAGCAGGAGAGTGCAGTGGGGGGAGGTATTTTTTCATGCTTTGTGTGTATAAAAAGATCTTCTACACTTTCCACAGTATGCATCCGATGAAGTGAGCTGTAGCTCACGAAGGCTTATGCTCAAATAAATTGGTTAGT